GTGTGATGGCGAAGACAAAAACCCTGTATAAACTCTGGGCCCAAACATCAACCAAAAGGATCAATTTCGCAAAGCCAATCATAAATCATGCCCAATATCAACGAATTGCTTCAAGGGAAAATCTCCAGGAAAACCCCCATATCGAATGGGAAAATCGATGGTTTCCGGTTAAGATGTTCCCTTCAACCAATCCATTGACAATAGTACCCTCTGGTAATTTAACATAGCTATTGAAAATGGCCCATTTATAGTTGATTTACCCATTAAAAATGGTGATTTTCTATAGTTATGTTAGTTTACCAGAGGGTACCATGAATGGGTAAAAATTTCATCTCCAACTGCGAGCTGCGCCAGGATCCAAGGCACATGCAGCACCATCAAGGTCCAAACCACCGTTGGATATCCACCCTCCTGCGGCAGGGGGGAACTGTGCCGTAAAGCAGATCTGATTCAAACGCCTGGGACGTGTGGTTGAGACTGGCAATGTTAGTAAAGCAATAAACCACCCATATTTTAATGGTTTATATGGTTTATACCACCCATTTATGGTAATTTTTTGGGGATCGTTTGCTATTGCTTTACCAACACTATACCCTATAGCAGTGTTGGCAAATTGAATTGATCATCCCACTCACTACTTCTCAGGCGTTGATCTTGAAAAACCGGATGCTGGTCAGCTGGTCAATCAGCGAAAGTAGCACGATATCAGGATGTGTGGGTTACACAATCCTCTCGCATCTCGAACCCCATGTCACCCGTCTTAAACACGTAGATGAACATCTGTGTTTCCACAATCCATGGCTTTGCAATTTAAAAGCCAGATATAAAACCTATTGTTGCTTCATTTTTACCTATTTTTCCCAGTCCATATTGGATTTTGGGTTTTTTTGTTCGTCACAGAAAAAATCACCGCCTTGGAGACGGGGATGTTTCTACGACGAAGCCACCACTTGATGCAGCGCAGGGCAGTTGCCTGGGTATTCAACAGGTGCCGAAGGTTGGAGACAATATATGATAATTAATGTATAAATGATAGATAATAGATGTATATGTATGTATGTATATATATATGTGTGTGTGTGGTTATCAATTATATATATATGGCTATCAATCTATCATGATGTATATCAACCTATATGATAAATAAACAATGATATATATATATATATTATATACATAGAAGTTGTGGCGGACGAGAAGGGTGATGATGACTGATGGGTATGGAGTAAAATTGGATGGCACAAAATAGATCAAAATAGGATTCTTGAATATGATTTTGAAATGTTCAAGCATCGGGGATGAACAAATTTTGATAAAAGAATAGTTTCCTCTTTGCTGGGTCTTCAATTTCAGCTGTTCCATATCATGTCTACACGTTAACTCCAACCCATTGCAGCTAGAGAAATCGCACATCGCACGGCGTCCATTGGGAGGAAACCACAAAAAGGTTGCCTTGGGATCATGATTTGACTTGATTTGACCATATTTTGCCTACAATTGACATCTTTCACCATTGGAGGGTTTCCATAGCATGGAGTGCACCCCAATAGCTGGATGATTTATTTCATGGAAAATCCCCCCCCCAAAAAAAAAAACAATTTAATCAATATTATGATAATTATCCAAATGGTGTATCATCAATAATCATCAATATGTTCAAGACCATCTAATCTAATCTAACTATCTGGGCTATTCCTCTCATCTAATCGAATCACTGGGTCATTTTTGTATGGTAATTAGATGGATAGAATTTCTGGATGGATAAACCATTGATGGAATCATGAAATCTATCCAGTCATGGATGACTTCACCTCCAGTGATGGTTTCGCACCGGTGCACCTCCAGTCCAGAGGACCAGTGGTCCTTATCCTGGCCGTGAATCGAACCGGCGAGGTTTAGTAAACCTCGAGCTGTGACTGGTCCTGTTCATGACATAGGTTTAGATAGTTAGATAGTGAGATAGTCGGATAGTGAGATACTTAGAAAGCTAGATTGTTAGATCGTTAGATGGTTAGACAGTTAGCTAGTTAGATAGTTTGATATTGAGATAGTTATATAGATAGTTTGATAGATAGATAGATGGGTAGATGGATCGATGGGTAGATGGATAGATGGGTAGATGGATAGATGGATAGATAGATATATAGATATATAGATATATAAATTAGCTTAGCTTAGCTTAGCTTGGCTTACATCAGATTAGATTAGATAAGATATGATAAGATTCGATAGATGGATATAGTTACATATATATATATATATATCACCATGCATATTATATATATATGTGTGTATATATATATATACATATACATATGTTGCAACATAGGTGCACAGATCACTATATGTTATAAAACCATATGATTTCCAATGTATATCAATGTATGCTGTATATATCAAGACCTGTTGACCATCTGGCACACTAAGGCCCTGCTTGCTGCTCCAGTCATATGTTGCAACATAGGTGCACAGATCACTATATGTTATAAAACCATATGATTTCCAATGTATATCAATGTATGCTGTATATATCAAGACCTGTTGACCATCTGGCACACTAAGGCCCTGCTTGCTGCTCCAGTCCTCTCCAATAGGTGGCGGAAGCGTCTCAGGCAGAGCCGCAAAGGGGTCCCACTGCCAGAGGCTTTGGAACCAAAGCCTGGGCGAAAATCTCGGGGCGTATGCCCTGGTCGCCGATGTTCCTTCCAACTTTTTCCATCTCTTCCCTGACCAATAATTGATGCAATAGATTATTATATAATATATATATATCAATTAATATGCCCTTATTTGCGGTTGTTGGTAGTTAACAAACCTGTATTTGTTGCAAGGTCAGCTTTGGGGGAGTTGGGCAAATCCCTGTGATGAGGCTTCCCAAATTCATGGCGAATCAAATCCAAGCTCCGAAAGTGCGGGCAGGAGGCACATGCCATTCGCCCAAGGGTTGATCAACTGTGAGGTCCTCAGGCTCTTCAAAACTCATCTTCAGGCCGCTGAGGCTAAGCCCTTGATAAAGCCACCATAGAATACCAGAGAACCCCTGGAAGGGGCCTTAGATTACCATTCATGATTGCTATCTTCTGATATCTTCAGTCCGTTTGAAATTTTGAGTGTGCAAATTTGGGGGTTCAGCCTTTACTTTCAGCGCGCGCCCTTCGGAAAGGCAAGCACTGTGGCTGTCGGGAACCATTTTGCTCTAGAATGCTCGGTGCTGATTTTGGAAAGATTTGAGGTTGCTCGAACTAAGGTAATTAGACCCATTGACACCCAACATGCTGCCCTGCAATGTCGGTGGCAAAGCAGCCTGAGTTACACCAGACCTCTGATTTTCCATACGCATCCATCCACGTTACGCACGGCAAGGACCTTTGCCACGCTCCTCTCCAACCCTGCCAAGCTTCCAAAGACAGACGCCCATCTTCAGACCTCATTGGCAACATAGTTGCATGTTTCAACCAAGAGACTATGGATACAACAAACAGAGATGGGAATGATACAATGACACACCACGTAGAATGATAGGAATTCGGGATTGGATTCATGCTGAAACGCTGTGGAGCTGAGCGATGGGCCACACAGTTAGCACGGGCACGCGAGCACAATCCACCAGCTGTAATTTCAATGCCTCCCAGCCATTGCCAGGGCACATTTCAGCTACAAGATCTACAAGCTGTGGGGGCGGAGTCATCCTCAAGTCAAATGCGTTTAACTCATCAAGCCCTGTAGTTAAAGGAAATATCTGGTTGGAAACCATGGCGCGCCAATGACTCCACAGTGTGTAGCCAATCCAGGTGTGGTCCCAACCTTTCCTTTCTAGGCCCCTACAAGGTGGTGCCCCATAGTTAGCTAAGTCGGTTTATAACTCCCATAACTATGGTTTATGGTAGATATAACTATAGTTAATGGGGTTTATAAACCAACTTATAACTGGGGGGCACCATCCTGTATAGGCGTCCCCTTCCAGTCCTCTTCTTCTTTCAGGCACTCTGCGATCTTCTGCAGTGCGTCTACAGGATCCAAAGGCTCCGAATCATCTGTGCCTTGGTGAAGGGCTGCATTTCTGATGAAGAAATGTCTTGAAGAGCAAAATAAAAACCATCCTTGGTCCAAATTCGAAACCCAAAAAATTGATTGAGGTAAATTGGTGGCAGAAACCTTTCGAAATGCTCGAAAAGTGGTGGACCGTGAAGCACCGAATCAAAAGCTCTGAGCACTGAAGCGCTTTTTCCAATCCGCGCGCAAGCCGTATGGGTTATCGTCAGCTCATCAGTTTTCTTCACTGCATTTGCTTCTTGCTCTTCTTTCCTGAGTTGTGAATATTGGTGACAGGAAACCCCTCACATGCATGGGAAGAGACATGCGCCATGAAAAACAATGAGCCTTTATTAATCATGCCACTATTGTTTAAAAACCTCACACTGTCTGTCCCTCTCTCCATGTCGATATATCATACGCTTCCCGTGCTGACTAAAACCCCCCATGTTGGTTTACACCTCGCCAGGCCTGCGCAGTTACCCCATTGATTCTGGTATCTATGCAAATCCGAGCGAAATCTCAGCCCATCTAGATTCAAAGATCTGGCCAATCCCTAAAGACCACCTGCAAAACATGGGGGCCAACCCCAAAGATCGCTAATTCATGTATTTCACAAAATGTGAGGACCCTCGTTCTCATCCCAGAATTATTCACTGATCACTGATTACCTCTCCTTTTTCTCCTCCAATCCGCAAGCTGTATGGGTCATCAGCCCATCAGTTGACCTCTCCTCAGCGTCTACTTCTTGCTCTTCTTTCCGGTCTTTCCTGAGGTTTGGGCTGTGTGGATGAAAAAAGGAAGCACAATGAGAGGGACGTGAAACCCTTGAGTAAAAAGAAATGGTACACTGGAAATTATGTACCCGCCGTGTAGATGATCCATGCAATGAACATCGCGCTTCATTTGCCAAACTATATTCCCGGAGGATACCACCCTTTGCAATCCTTCTTTGATCTAATCTAAATTCAAAGATCTGGCCAATAATCCTTAAAGACCACCTGCAAAACATGGGGAAAAGTTTGGGAAAAGGACCAATTTCTCCGACCAAAGTTTCCAGTCTCCTTCTCCTTCGCCTGCGACAACTTCTCAGCCAAGACCTGCTTCACGCACTTCTGCTCCTCGATGAGGAAGGCGCGCACGATGCGCTTGCGCACGCAGCTCCTTGGTGTGAACCCGGCGACAATGTGGGTCCAAAGATGCAGAGATCCTCCACTTGGGGGACCAGCATTGGCAGTGAGTCATGTCAAAAAATAATCCCTTCCCCCTATTGCTAAACGTCCCCCAAATACTAAAAACTAGGGTCCATCTCTAATTTCGGAAAATTTCAGATTGGCCAATTTGACTTTTAATTGATCCCCTTTAGAAAACAATTTAAAAATAAAGCTACCATTTGTGGGTTTTGCCCCCTAATAATAAAAACTAGTTCACCCGGGGTGTTTATTATTAGGGTCCGTCCGATTTTTTTTGTTTTTTATATTAGGGCTTTTAATTTCTTATTAGGGCCCGCTTCGAAATCCAATTTTTTGGGCAATATTTTAATTGCGTTATATAAGGAAATTTAATTGATTTTGAAATCGGAAAAAAATAGTTTTCATTATTAATGCTTTAATTTTATTAATAGGGTCCGCTTCGAAATCCAATTTTTGGCAATATTTTAATTGCGTTATATAAGGATTTTAATTGATTTTGAAATCGGAAAAAATTGTTTTGATGATTAACGGTTTAAATTTATTAATAGGGTCCGCTTCGAAATCCAATTTTTGGCTATATCTTAATTGCGTTATATAAGGAAATTTAATTGATTTTGAGATCGGAAAAAATAGTTTTTATTATTAAGAATTTAATGTTATTAATAGGGTTCCCTAATAATAAATACCCCCCTAATACTAAAAACTACCTGAGGTGTTTATTTTGGAGGAAGGGATTATATACTCCATATCCCCAGCCGCATCGTCATTATCATCACCATCATTGTGATCGGGCCTTGCGGCTTTTCTCTGGATATTCTATGTGCAAAGAATTTCGAACCTGTACCAAGGCCATCAAAGACCATCAAAGGCCATCAATTTAATTTCAGGATTTGCCCAAGTTTGAGTATGGCGAGGTGGTTCGGGGCCGCTGCTATATTGCATAAATCATTCTATTTTATAAGTTCTCTCTATTTCTGCAACTTAACCTCCACCCATCGCAACGATCAGGCAAGTCTCGCGCAGCGCGATCCACCATAGGCACGGTTGACACGCTTCTCTCGATTCTTCAGCCTTGCCAGGGCTGGGATTGCCCCCTGACGTGAATGGATCCAGTAGCAGAAACTGGGGCCCTGTCCTCGGGCTCTGGAGGGCTGTATATTATAGTATATTATGTATATTTTACAGTGACGAACCGTTCTGCGTCATGAGTTATGAATCTGATCCCTGTGACTTTCTGTTGACAGGCGAAAGCTCAAGAGACACCTTCGCGCGCACCCATCCCATAACCCCGCCTGGCATACTCGACGGGCCGCAAACGAGGGAGGCCAATGAGAGCCTTCTTGCCTCGGACGTTAAGTGGCTAGCCCTCAACCAGACCCAGGCCTTGTCCCCAACAGATATCAGTTAGCTTCGGCAGATTACGGCCTTGACTATCATATGTGGTTGATGTTTGATGATGTTTGTTCATTTCATGTGTCCCATCCTTCAAAGGATCCCTTGGAGAAAAGGCATTGCTTGGGGATGGTTGTTCAATGTTGTTCACTTCATTCTATCCCTGGCAGGGCCAAGGGGTGTTTCACCCCTTGGCTGCTCCTGCGTGTCGCCGAGGTGCAGTCTCCGCAGTGAGGACCCTTCGCCTTCTTGGTGAGCGTCTGGAACACCGCGCGGCCACCAGGGGTCTTCACAACTCGCCTCGGAGGCCGGGGATGGCAGGGATATGGCGGGGATGCTCATCACCAGGTTTTCATGGGAAAATCATCTACTAATAGGGATCGTTTTACTAGTAAAGTAAAACACCAAAAATAAGTGGTTTTTGTTCAGCTGGGAATTTTGAAGGTGGCGGAATTCTCTTATGTCTTGATCCATTTGTGAGTGTGAGTTCAGATGCTACTGAACTTTGATTGCAGCATGAGAAGGAGCTTAAAGTCTGGCTTAAAGCATCTATGGCCAGCAGCAACTGATGTACTGTATCTCCAAGCAGCACATGCCCACTGGATGTGCAGGACACTTGGTCATATCATATGACTCCCTCCCAAATTCAACCGAAAAATCATCTCTGCAACATGGATATGTAAATGGGGCTGTATGTTGCCATGATGCCTTTCCAGAAAGTACCAACATACTATTGCCAATGAGAAACCATCCCCAATATTGCCATAGATGGTACACATCATGGCCAAGCATGGTAGGTCTTTATAGCATTGGATGAATGCTAGTAGTTCATAGTAGTTCTTCATGGCTTTTTTCTGGCCACATTAGTACCATGCTCCCCGCATTTTTTTTGGGCCCCGTTTCTTCATCGCAACCCGGACGCTGCTTGTTGGACTTGGTGTTGTAGCGGCACTGCCGGCGGTAGGTCAGGCGGAACGCCATGGCGGAGACCGGCGAAAGAAGAAAGGGCCGAGCTGTAAACCCACGCAGCTGTGAGGACAGAGCTTGGGAACGGGGGTGCGGTTCCAGTTATGGGAAGATTCATGGGAAATAAGTGGAGGTATTCATATGTTTTAATATGTTTTAATATATTTTAATGAGAAAATCATCCATAAATCAGCACAGTTTGATTTTTTGTGTTTGTGGATATATTTCACCGTAGGTATAGGAGTATAAGTTAATATCAGTTATATCCCAACTTCTAGGGGTCAAAATCCCATGGTTCTGCCAGTTTTTTATCCGGCTATGGCAAGCTGGCGATGCAAAATCACCCATCTGACCCATCTGATGATAATCCTCGGTTCAAAGTTGTGATCTGTCATGGCCAGGTTAGATTGCCCGAATGTGGTGGTTTCAACCCATCCTTCAAAAAAGTAGCCCGTGAGGGTCATCATACCAGGTAGGATGGGACATAGAAAGTGCTATTACAAAATGTGAGGACCCTTGTTCTCATCCCAGAATTATTCACTGATCACTGATCACTGATTACCTCTTCTTTTTCTCCTCCAATCCGCAAGCTGCATGGGTCATCAGCCCATCAGTTGACCTCTCCTCAGCGTCTACTTCTTGCTCTTCTTTCCGGTCTTTCCTGAGGTTTGGGCTGTGTGGATGAAAAAAGGAAGCACAATGAGAGGGACGTGAAACCCTTGAGTAAAAAGAAATGGTACACTGGAAATTATGTACCCGCCGTGTAGATGATCCATGCAATGAACATCGCGCTTCATTTGCCAAACTATATTCCCGGAGGATACCACCCTTTGCAATCCTTCTTTGATCTAATCTAAATTCAAAGATCTGGCCAACAATCCTTAAAGACCACCTGCAAAACATGGGGAAAAGTTTGGGAAAAGGACCAATTTCTCCGACCAAAGTTTCCAGTCTCCTTCTCCTTCGCCTGCGACAACTTCTCAGCCAAGACCTGCTTCACGCACTTCTGCTCCTCGATGAGGAAGGCGCGCACGATGCGCTTGCGCACGCAGCTCCTTGGTGTGAACCCGGCGACAATGTGGGTCCAAAGATGCAGGGATCCTCCACTTGGGGGACCAGCATTGGCAGTGAGTCATGTCAAAAAATACTCCATATCCCCAGCCGCATCGTCATTATCATCACCATCATTGTGATCGGGCCTTGTGGCTCTTGTACAAAGAATTTCGGACCTGTACCAAGGCCATCAAAAGCCATCAAAGGCCATCAATTTAATTTCAGGATTTGCCCAAGTTTGAGTATGGCGAGGTGGTTCGGGGCCGCTGCTACATTGCATACATCATACTATTTTATATAAGTTCCCTCATTTCTGCAACTAACCTCCACCCATCGCAACGATCAGGCAAGTCTCGCGCAGCGGGATCCACCATAGGCACGGTTGACACGCTTCTCTCGATTCTTCAGCCTTGCCAGAGCTGGGATTACCCCCTGACGTGAACGGATCCAGTAGCAGAAACTGCGGCCCTGTCCTCGGGCTCTGGAGGGCTGTATATTATAGTATATTATGTATATTTTACAGTGACGAACCGTTCTGCGTCATGAGTTATGAATCTGATCCCTGTGACTTTCTGTTGACAGGCGAAAGCTCAAGAGACACCTTCGCGCGCACCCATCCCATAACCCCGCCTGGCATACTCGACGGGCCGCAAACGAGGGAGGCCAATGAGAGCCTTCTTGCCTCGGACGTTAAGTGGCTAGCCCTCAACCAGACCCAGGCCTTGTCCCCAACAGATATCAGTTAGCTTCGGCAGATTACGGCCTTGACTACCATACGTGGTTGATGTTTGATGATGTTTGTTCATTTCATGTGTCCCATCCTTCAAAGGATCCCTTGGAGAAAAGGCATTGCTTGGGGATGGTTGTTCAATGTTGTTCACTTCATTCTATCCCTGGCAGGGCCAAGGGGTGTTTCACCCCTTGGCTGCTCCTGCGTGCCGCCGAGGTGCAGTCTCCGCAGTGAGGACCCTTCGCCTTCTTGGTGAGCGTCTGGAACACCGCGCGGCCACCAGGGGTCTTCACAACTCGCCTCGGAGGCCGGGGCCGGGCCCCAAAGGACCACCGGAAGGCCTTGGTATGTCTAGATGGTTTTACGATGTTTTACCCCGTTCATCTCGTTGTCGGGCGGGATTGGCTGTTCCACGAACATGAGGTTCCCACCAAATCAGAGGGGCACCCAGCACCCCAGAACAAACTGCCACTTGCACCTAGGGTGCAGTTCCAGTATAGTGGATGTATAGCCATAGGGTCATAATCATAGCCATTGACAACCCCAACTGCACCCCCAAGCATATCCTCCAAGTGCAGCCCAAATGCTGCTTGTTGGACTTGGTGTTGTAGCGGCACTGCCGGCGGTAGGTCAGGCGGAACGCCATGCTGGAGACCGGCGGGAAAAGGGGCCAAACTATGAACCCAAGCAACTGCGAGCACCGAGATCTGGTTGTCTCACCAAAAAAATACGAACAACTATGACATAGTCAGGATGATAACCCTAGGCAAATTTGAAAGAAAAACAAAATATATCCCAAATGAGCCAGGTGAAGTTCTCCAAACTCACCATCTTGGAAGCCGAAGTTCGCCCAACTTCAACTCACCACCCACGAGCTTCTGCCGCCGCAGTTGATCTGCCATGATCTGCCAAGTTGCAGGTGTAAACGACCACATCCAGGTCAGAGTCAGGCGTGTCGATCCGCAGGGCGGTGCTACCAATCAATGCCATCCTGTGACAGCTGCTAGGTCTAATGGAGGCCTTTTTAGGGCCATTTGCCTGGGTTTGGTTTCCACATGATTCCCCAATATACCTCAAAAATAAATACAAGATGATACAAGTAGGTCATGAAATCATGAACTTACCAGTTGTTGCTTTGATTTTTCGGGTCCCTCATTTTTTGAACATACAGCAAGAACCCCCCATCGACATCCCAGTGCACCTTCCGAAATGCACACCCAAGGACATCTTTGCTGCACCTTAGATCCCGCCAGTGAGCAGTGGAGATTGAGAAAATGTCTGCGTCCGGAAGTGTTGATTTATGTTGATTTTGAACCTGTCAAATTGCATGTGATGTAATCTTCCAAAGGCATCCAGGGTCATGAATTGGTTATTGTTGATCCAGACTGACCTGGTGGATTTAGCCACATCATGCCACATCTCCTATAGAGCGTTCATCATACCATCAGCATCAGCATCAGCATCAGCAGCAGCAGCAGCAGCATCATCATCATCATCATCAGCATCAGCATCAGCATCACCATCACCATCATTATCATCATCATCATCATCATCATCATCGCCAACAACCCACAGCTCAGCCGCATTATCCCACCATCATCCTATCCCCAAAGTCTCTGCCAAGGTGACTGCACACCTTTTCATAGAGCTGCACGCGCGCAGGGTAGCGCGCCAGGGCGGTTGAGCGCATGAAATCCAGGACGCCTTTGACAGCGGAAGTGGTTCACCCAGGTTGGACCCAATGGGATGACAAGATGAAAAACCATGTGTGATTGCATACATATGATATGAGAAGTTATTAATAGTAAGATGTTCATATATGGCATGATATAATTAAATAGAAATCCATATGGTCACTAGTTCACCAGCTCCTAGCTAGGAGAAAGATATGAGGGCAAAAGGCGAGATTTGAAGCAACTCAAATGAGATCTAAGCTGTGGGAAAGGGGCCAACTGGTTAGCCAAGGTTACGACACATTTCCAAATGGGATAAGCCAAGTTGCAACTGCAAAACCATATGATGAAATACATCATAGCCGCTGGACCCCTTGTAAATGGGAAAAACTCCCGGCCAGGGGACTGACCCTAACAAGGGCCAATGAAAGCTCGTCTGGTAAATCATTTTAAGTAACTTGGCAATCAAAAGGAAAACATTCACATCGATTCATATAGTTGGTTTCTCCGTGGGCAATGGAGTTCTCACTTCCATTTGATTTACCAGAGGGTAAGCCTCCAAGTATTGGGGTAGGTGATATGTTCTGGCAACTCTTTCCTTGTGACAAAGGTAATCCCAGCTACAAGTAACTCAGTATCCCAGTTAGACCACGTATCCGATGAGAAAATGACCTTCCTCGCTTGCCGGTGGGCGGCACATAATCATGCTTACATGGATGCAAGCAAACATATATATATATATATATATCTGTCTATCTATCTATCTATCTGTGTGTGTATGTCTGTATGTTTGACCCATATAACTCTCTATATATATATACATTTGCGGATATTGGATGATTCTCCAACACATGTTTTGCCAGGAGTGTGTCTGCCCGAGCTGTGCCGCCTGCGATACTTGCTTCGGCTGATCTCTGTCGTGACATGGTTACAGGACTGCCTGGCCCACGGCTTGCACAGTTGCCACAAAAATGGCGATGGCTGGTTGGTGGTTTCCGGCCGGTTGGTTCAAAAATGTAACGGAAAATCCCTAGCATCGCATATGTATATGTATGTGTAATTATTGACCATACAGATCATACATGTATACACACATCTTTGCATCTTCGTAGATGGTTCCATTGCAAATGTTTGTTTATCAGAAGATCCAGAAAGTAGTCAGGATCACAATCGTCCATCGAGACACACCCTCCACAAACCCTATACAATTTCCGACTGGGAGCTGGGTCTTTTCCCATAGCCAGTCATTCATATCCATCCAAGCAGGGCCAAAAAAAACACTAAAGGTTCATGATGGCTCACCCATTCACCTACAGGATGGGGCCCCCCAGTTATAAGATTTATAAGTTGGTTTATAAACCATGAAATAATCCCCATTAACTATAGTTATATCTACCATAAACCATAGAATTCAGCCACTTATAAACCAACTGAACGCTATTTTGGGGGGCCCCATCCTGTACCAACCTGGGGATAACCATCATCCACTGCGACTGGACACCTCCCGCGCAGTCGCTGCATGTCGTCGAGGTCTCTTCCTGATTTACCGCGCAGTAGCGCAGTAGCTTTGACCATGACACATGTCATGTTTAATGGAGAAAATGGGGCACCCTCTGCTGCCATGTAGTTCATTGTAGTTCTAGGTTCTCGAATGGTATAAGTACCTTGCACGACAATTAATGACTAGTGAAACATGGCCTGGCAATTACAGCATGCCTCGGCCATTGCCATGTCTGATATGACCGTGAAGATCATTCCAGTGCTTGCTGGCGAATTGACACGGCCAACTAGCGAGGCACTAGGTCACTAGGCATCAACGGCATCGAAAACACGCAAGAGGAAACATCCACACACCTCGAGGAAGATTAACGTGGGGATGTTTCTAGCACCTATATATTGGGGATTGTCGTTATTAGCATTCGGGGATGGTTCATAAAACCTATTTCTGGTAGAATTGGTAGATTTGGGGATGTTTATTGGCATGATTGGGTTTACCAGATTCTGTCCCAACTGCCGAAACCTGCCCAGTGAAACCGGTGATGCCGAAGCGCCTTCTCATCCTGCCCGTTTTTCAATGGGTAGAAGACGTCATAGACCGCCCCATCGGGTCCAATCAGGGTCTCGTCTCCCGCAAACTGACTGGGGGAGCTGCCTCCGCTCACTCCATCACTCCAGGGCTCAAAGGTATAGTCCGAATATCCCATGGTATAGCCATAGTGGCTGAGGTCCATCTCTCCTGGGCGAATGGGAATGGATGGGAACGTGGCCCCCTACTCAAGCATTTACGAGGTCAAGACCCTGGCACCCCTCTGAACATCCCGAACATTGGAAAGTTCAATAAAGTTCACTTATACATCCCTTGTCACTGCTCAAGTGGGTCACAGGTCACTTATAATCATATGTAGTTGTACATCATATATATATATATTAATATATCATATATATATATATGTTAATATTAATATATATATATATGTTAATATTAATACAAATATCCGCCGACCCCTGCCTTAGCCAAGGCAGGGGCGGCGCCTGGGACCACCGCAGGTGTGGAACTTTTTTTCGTTCCCAATGCTTTGCACTTTCCACGAGCCACCCAGGCCATAGCACCCTCTGTTCACCGCCCAGGAGCCACTCAGGCCACAGCAATTTCTGTGCACTTCCCACGAGCCACTCATGCCACAGCAATCTCTGTTTCTACGGCGTTCCAAAACGCAACAGGCCGCGGCAGACCCTGTGCAGTTCCAACAAGTCCCTGAGGCCGTGGCAGTAAAGAGGTTCAAGGCTGCCGTTTGCCAGCCTTCAAAACTCGCCAAAACTACCCAAACCCTCCCCTGCAGCTCCCAGGCGCCACTCAGGCCGCGGCAGACCTTTCCTGCAGCTCTCACAAGTGCCTGAGGCCGTGGCAGTGTCTTTTTATGGACGTTCAAGGCTGCCGTTTGCCAGCCTCCAAAACTCCCCAAACCCTCCCCTGCAGCTCCCAGGCGCCACTCAGGCCGCGACAGTCCTTTCCTGCAGCTCCAACAAGTCCCTGAAGCCGTGGCAGTGTCCTTTTAAGGAGGTTCAAGGCTCCCATTCGCCGGCCTTCAAAACTCGCCAAAACTCCCCAAACCCTCCCCTGCAGCTCCCAGGCGCCACTCAGGCCGCGGCAGACCTTTCCTGCAGCTCCAACAAGTCCCTGAGGCCGTGGCAGTGTCCTTTTATGGAGGTTCAAGGCTGCCTCTTGCCAGCCTTCGAAACTCGCCTAACTCCCCAAACCCTCCCCTGCAGTGGCCCAGTCGCCACTCAGGCCGCGGCAGACCTTTCCTGCAGCTCCAACAAGTCCCTGAGGCCGTGGCAGTGTCTTTTTATGGACGTTCAAGGCTGCGCCACTCAGGCCGCGGCAGACCTTTCCTGCAGCTCCAACAAGTCCCTGAGGCCGTGGCAGTGTCCTTTTAAGGAGGTTCAAGGCTGCCGTTTGCCAGCCTTCAAAACTCCCCAAACCCTCCCCTGCAGCTCCCAGGCGCCACTCAGGCCGCGGCAGACCTTTCCTGCAGCTCCAACAAGTTCCTGAGGCCGTGGCAGTGTCCTTTTACGGAGGTCCCAGGCTGCCGTTTGCCAGCCTTCAAAACTCGCCAAAACTCCACAAACCCTCCCCTGCAGCTCCCAGGCGCCACTTAGGCCGCGGCAGACCTTTCCTGCAGCTCCAACAAGTCCCTGAGGCCGTGGCAGTGTCCTTTTAAGCAGGCTCTTATTTCTTTTTTGTTTTCGTTGTCTTTTTCTCGGGAACGTGCCACTGCTTGTTGTGACATGGTTTTCCCGATGGCATGTCATGCTTGACAGCAATGCGGCCACATGACAGCGATGACCAAACAACAGTGGAGCAGACCGGGCAACTGTGCGCATGACGCCGTGTCTGCTTGCTGACTTCACCGTCCTTGACGTAAAATTGATTGTTGCACACAGATCGATGGTCGATTTGCCCTGTCTTCACGTTGCTGTTCACAAGTCCATTGCAAAATGGGCACTGGTAAACAAAACTTTTCTTTGCGACAACGCCGTCCCGTACCGAAAATTTGTACCCACAGACACCCCGATGGTTGATTTTCCCTGTCTTCACATTGCTGTTCACAAGGCCCTTGCAAAATGGACATGTGTAAACAACAGATTTCTCTGCCACAACACCGTCTTGCACTTGGAATTGGTTCCCGCATGTCCGGCGATGATCTACTTGCCCTGTGCGTATGCTGCTGATCACTGACTGATGGCAAGCAGGACAGACATATTGGAAACTCTGTCCTCTCTGCGTTGCGTGTCGTGTATTTGCCGGCAAGGTCTTCTCCTTGCTGGCCTTGTTGCCTTCCTGCCTTTTACCTGCTTTCAAGGCTTTATGCTTTTCTTCGGCCTTCCCTGTTTCGTCTTTCTTCTTTGATGATTGATGGTGATTTACCCTCTGGTACTGCCTGACCCACCCCCTTTCAAGGGGGTCGGCGGCACCAGGGCGTTAGCCCATTTTATTATTATCATTATTAATTAGTATTATTCGTATTATTATTGTTATTTGTTATTTTATTATTACCCCCCAAAAAGAGAGAAGAACCATGAAGAACCCCCCATCTTCACTAGCCGCCCTGCGCCTTGCCAAGCCCAATCCGTCTGCATGGGTTGAAGCCTTGGAGCTCGTGGCTTCATCCGAAAGCTATGGTAACCCCCAGAAAAAGATAGAAAAGTGACGTATCACTATTTCAGAATGGGAATTTGCTTTTCTATCTTTTTGGGGGGTTACTATACCCAGTGTTCAAGTTTCAAAAAAAAGTCAAGAAAGTTGTTGAGATCATGATGATCATGCATGTTTTATAACAGCAACTGTAGACACTCAATCACCATGGCCCACAGGATCAGCGTTGACCAAGGAGCATGGCAAGGAGCTGTTGTCCAGCATCTGCAGATGGTGCCTGTCAGCTGAGCCATCTGGAATCAACTGGATATCATGGAGTTAGTAAATGGATATGTAATTATGGATCTATTATATGTTGCATACAGTATTTCTATTGAAGATTATGTAGACCCGGGAAAATTTCACGGATCTCTGCATTTACATATGTCTACAGCTCTAATTACATCTAATTACATCATCAATCACAATCATATATTGCAATGCATATGTACGTCGAATTCTAGCCTATTTGTTGCAGTAGGGATCATCCAATCAGTGAAGCTTCGTTGATTTCCCCCATTACCGACTTTGAATCAAATCTATCAGCAGAGGGAGAGGGATTCACCCTTTGCCCCAATGAAATACACTCCCCGCAACCCTGGTTTCGTTTGGGGGCCTGTTCAATTTTGGGGTTCCATTATCATGAGGGGCGTCGGTTTTATCCTCATCTTTGTTGCCCAAACATCAATTTTGCCTGTAGTAGATCTCCATCAAATCCCAATTTTGTGGGTAAAATCCATATTTTGATTACAGTAGTTACATCATGTTACATCTCTTCATCGCTTCTGCGATTTTGCCAACTTTGGTCGGTCAAAAATCCGCCATTTTGACTAGAGTGGTTACATCAAATCCCATAAATCCCTATGTTTGTTGGTAAAATCATGTCTACGGGAAACATGGGGGTTTCATGGGGGTTCCATTAAATTAACCAATCCATTGAATGTAGAATCCCCATGTCCGTTGGTTCATCTGACCACTTCCGGCGTCACTGCCCCATTTTGACTACCCAGCCTCCGGCTCCAAATGTAGCAAGGACCCGATGACCTTTCGACCATGACACACCTCGCCTGGGCCAAGGTGGGGGCCCTTTGGGAGATATGCCAGTTGTGAAAAGTCACAAAGGGATATAGAGAAGTTGGTTTTTTCCAACACTTTTAGATCTGATATGATGTGATAGATATATGATTAATGTATGATACTTTCAGTAGGATATTACGGTTCCATCTTTTTGTTTTTTTTGAGGATTTATCACTGTGATATTTTGGAAATACCCGGGACACCCGTGCGGACCGGGATGATCCAAAATTTCTGGTGTGATACCTCACAATAAGAATAGCATGGCTCGACATAGTGGTAACAGCCTTGTCAAGCTCCACAAGCTGCAGGGATGTGGCTCAGCTGCATTCATTTAATATGTTGCAAAATCATTGAACCAAAAATCATATGTTTATTATATATATATATATTGTATATATATATACATATATATGTGTGTGCGCGCATGGCGGAAGAGAAACAAATGGCCAACTGTGATAAACTTGGCGATTTAAAAAAACACAACAGCAGACAGCAACTTTCGTCCAAAGATCGCATCTCATCCAAGTCGCAGGTCTCTAAACCACAACTGCAGCTGGTGTCTGCCTGCAGAGTATGCAACCAGGTGGCTATGGCAGCTATGGGGCTATGGGGTCTACCCAGGCGAACCCCTACAACGTGAGGGAAAACATGGGAAAACAACATGGGGATATGGAAGGCGGAGACATTCACCTACTTGAGTTTGGTGTTTTGATTCTGAACCCTGGCAACTCCAATGAGGGCTCTCGCATCACGGCGTGCTGTGTCTGCAATGGGCCCAAATGAAGCTCTGGCCCTCGCAACAAATCAGTTAAAGCAGATGAACCTAATGAAAAGCAATAGAAATACTTCTGGGTGGTGGCGTGGCCAGGGGAAAACTAGGGCGTCACGTATTTTTGTGGATATCTTTGGAGTGCACCTGGCACCTGGGATTAGATTATATATATATTTTTATTTATTTATTTATTTATTTATTTATTTATTTATTTATTATGTGTATATTTTTATATATATATATATTTATGTGTGTGTGTGCGTGTGTGTGCTTGTGCTTGTTGGATCTTGTTGGCATTTGTTGGCGGCTTGGTTTCCACCTTTGTCAAAACCTTGAGGATCGAAGCGGTGTCAACTCACTGAATGTCTGCCCCCGCCCTGCCAGTGCAACCCCCAAAATGGGCTTGGAATTTCACTGTGTCTCGTCAGGTCGTTCAACTCCTTGTGGTGACTGCTTTGCTTTCTTGCTTTTCTGCTTTGCTTTCTGCTTTGCTTTCTGCTTTGCTTTCTTGTTTGATGTCTTGTCACTTTGCATGTTGAGTTTGCATTTGCGCATTGAACTGACCTTGGTGACATTGACATGCGATTTTGACTGTCCGCTCTAATTTTGAGATGCAGCCCCCGGTGTGGGGGGCAAGTGGCCACTGTTTGAGAGAAGTGAATATTGAAGAAGAAGAAGAAGAAGAAGAAGAAGAAGGTGAAGGAAGTCAAAAGCTATTTGATGCGTTTGATTGCTTTCTGAATTTTTCTTTTTGTTTAAATCCATGTTTGGTCTTCAAATTGACATCTCGAAGGGCGGAGAAGGATCAGTGGCCGCAGCATCTAGGGCTTAGGCCGGCGCTCAAGGCGTTTCGTTCTTCGCCGCACACGACGTGGGCTCCGGGTGACAAAACAGCAGATTGCTTGTGCTAAGGGAGTGTTTCCGGCTTGGCCACCCAGTTCGACTGATAACCAAGCAACGGTGCTCCTGGTTCTCCAGGGCGGCTTGCCTCCCAGGAGGTGCATCCGTGATCTGAGGAACTGATTTTTTGCTACTAGCGTCAAGCCAGAAAGTTTGCCATCGACAACCTTTCGCAAGGGCTTTTTCTATGCTTGATGCCAAGACAGTTTGTTCCTCTATCTTGCAGAAACACTGCAACAATGAAGATCCATGTTCCGTGCCTTTACCGACACTTTTGCTAGGAATCATGAATGTGATTTGCTGGACAGCTGGTGGGCAATTTCCTGACGCCTTGCGGCTTTCTACTCGGGCGCAGCTTGGAACTCATGTTGGCACGGCTTCAGTTTTTATGGTTGCTGACAGCCTGCCCCTCAGACGCATTGGCAAAAAGGTAGAAGCTGCATTGCATGTTTCCACCTCTGCGCTCCTGGCTTGGATGTTTCCAGCGGACAAAAACTATGGCCGCCAAGCAGAGGGTGCCTTAAGGGCCATGGCGGGACTGATGACTGCGAATGGCTTGGCCCTGCTGAAAAGCAGGGCACGTACACAGCAGGGCCATCAAGTTGGGAGGCTGCTCACGCCAAAACAACGATCTGTCTTCTGGCCCGATTCCTTTCCAGACTATGGGGTGCGTGATAAAAGGGTGGCAATCGACGAGCTTGTGCACTTGCAACTTGTAGCTGTCAGGGCCCCCAATATCGGCTTTGAATGCTATGGATCAGACGTGGCAGATGCTGCTGTTTTATATCAATGGCTGGGTCCATCTAGGTATGTCGGGGTGGCATCAGTGCAACGACGGACTCGCCCCGGCTTACCTGGACCGGCGCAGAGATTGTGGGAGCATTGTCTTTTGCAGTTTAGACCAGCGTTGAAGGGATCACAACTCCGCAAGTACAAGTTGTTCCGACGTGCACCAGCCTGTCAGCAAGGTTTTCTGATCTGTCGGTGTGGGCCAAGTGCTATGATGTTTGCAGCAGAACAAGTCGAGATTCGCTGCCACCGTCCTCCAGCGAACACAACAAAGCGAAAGAAACTAAAGTGCAATAATCTAGCTCGTTCTCGGCCTCCTCGATCAGGTAGGGGCTATGTTCCGCACCATGTTCGCCAGGGTACCTTTGAAGGTAGTTTTGCAGCTGTTCAATTTGACAGGGCCAAGGCCAGGGTCCTAGATGCAATGCGCTTCAATTCCCTGCGGCTTCAGTACCAAGACGTGGTAAGCAACTTGCAGCTTGACTTCCGGTCGGCATACAGACACTTTCAACAGACTTGGCTTGCTAAGTCAGGCGCGTTTGGGCCGCTTGACATACGCAGCCCCAACCACTGGCGATTGGCGCTGTTGTATATTTCCACCTTTGGCTGTAGCCTGCACTGGAGATCTTTGGACAAGCATTGGGGGTCTTCATGTGCGGCCCTGCTCTTATGGAAGCGAGCCAAAGCCTGGCTCGGACAGAGACGGCGCTCAATTTTTCAGCAGAAGGTGGACAGCCTCCTACACTCTCGCAGGCTTCCCAGCACAAGGGGGGCAACTATCACAGTACCACGTCCATGCTTTGTGCCAGCGGTCAAAAAGGCTATTAGAACTGCGCTCTCTCAACACCCTCACTGGGATCCCTTGCTGCGACAGCACGTGCTGCAGAGCACCCGCATCGTCTTGGGCAAGGAGATCACGTTTGCAGATAAGCAGAACTGCGGTGCCAGATCGCAGGACTTTGATTGGGGGCCGCTTGCGCAATGTGATGACAGCACCCTGGCCGATGCCATATGTGGAAAGGGATGCAGCCGAGTGGAATGCAACTGGAAGGTGCCTTTACAGCCGACGCCGCAGGCAGACATTGCTGCCGTGAAGCGGTCCTTAGCAAACTGGGCAAACAATTTTGCCTGGCCTGGGACTCACAAGCAGATCTGTGGTAAGGCAGCAGCCAAACTCAGCTGCAGCAGAAAGTGGCAGGAGCTTCATGCTGCCTGGCGCAAACAGCGGGCCAGCTATCTGGCACACACTTGCCAATTCAGTGGGCCTGGGCTCATCATTTGCCCGGACGACAAGGTCAAGCAGTACAAATGGAAAGTGCCTTTACAATCGTATTTTTTGATGATGGCCTGGTTTGTTTGCGTATCCACATCCTGGCATGCCACCAGCTTGACTCCCACAGAAGCTAATGCTTGGTGCTTAACAGTCCTTCTGACATTTGTGCCACGGGCTTTGCACAAACACCTTGGCCTTCGCCCAGGCAGATGGGTCCTGCCATATTGCTACACTAGCATCAAACACAAATGTTTCCAAGGAGAAGGAAGCTCTCGGTCGTGCTCAAAGCCCCACCACAGCTGCATGCGGCGCATTGTTTCATATTGCAAATGGCCGTGTCGGGGTGTCTGGCGCCAGGCCAGCCGGGCCCTTGCCTTCGTGGTTAGGCAAACTATTTTCTCCGATGAAGTCTGGGGGTTGAAGGATGCCCGAGCTGACATGGAAAAGAAGATGGACAGACTAGCTGCCCCACGGCGTGCGGGTCTATGTGATCGATGTGGTGGCCGTTGTCATCCTTTGCAAGGTATCACTGCTGATGCGGGGCAATTCTTTGAAGCGGTATCGTCCAATTCTGCGTGTGAAAATCTGGGCTCCATTTTGCGTCTGGCAAAGCAAAATGGATTTTCTGCTGTAACAGTTGCTGGACGGCGTACAGTCTTCTTTGGGGGGTGCGTCTATCGCTCCTTTCAATCTTGCAAGGTGTTCCACTTCAACGACCTTTTTTGGCTTTTTGCTGCAGCAGTGTCTATGAAGTATGCCACACGGGTACCAGAGTGTGGGAATTTTCAGGCCTCCCTATAGGAGGCTTATTGTCAAAGATGGCAGCCTCCTGTGTTTTGGGATGGCAAGAGCATGACTGGTGTCAGGACTTTGGTCGCAGACAGGGGGAAAGATTTCATTGGCCAGACCGCTTGTGGAACCATATGGTAGCGCGTGGCAGATACGTCGACGATGTATTGTGGGTCAGCCGGGCCCTGTGCATTGACTGCCTGACTGCAGCGGTCCCAGTGATGTACACAGTGCCTTTTGATGTTCAAGCTATGTCCACTGATGGCAAACTTACATGGCTGGACTTTGAGATTTCTTTGCCGGAAATGAGGTGGTCAGTGAAGAAAAAGCCCTTTGTCCCTCGTCTCCCTTGGGCAGTCAGCCAGCGTTACGCCTTCTCCATCATATCGGGAAGAGTTTCCCGATGGCAAGAAATGAGGCTTCTGCCAGAAGATTTTGCAGAAGCTTTGGTCGACGTATTTGCTGCTTTCAAACAAGCGGGCTGGCAAAAAAAGCATTTGCGGAAGGCAGTGTTCCGTGTAGCACAGCGAAAAGCCGGGGTACTGGAAGGTCTGATTGTCCACATTTTTCACGCCTGCTTTCCTCCGTTGCACTGATTATGTTTTGCTCACAAGATTCGAAAAGTCTTGCGAAGTGGGGTTCCTTCTACTTGCCCATGGCGACGCAGGCGCACCACAGTGTGAGGACAAAGTCGTTGAGGAAATCCGCAAACTTCGTGATTCCTTGAAACCATGTGCTACAACGCCCACGACTCCATCAAAAGTGGGCAACCAGAGCCAAGCCCACCTGACTCCAAAAAGCAAATCCCACCTGAAAACATTGTTGTCTTTCATGCAGAATGGGGAGCTGCAGCATTTGGCAGACATGGCTCAGGCTGTTTCCTGGGAAGATATCGAAGAACAGCTGCAGAATCAGAGTTTGGCCTCTTTGAAAGAGTACCTAGGTACTCGGCTGCCCTCTTCAGAGATCCCAGCTAGGAAGCCGGCCGCAGTGTCCAAGGTTCTGCAACTCGCAAAGCGCGCTTTGCCTCACTGAATGCATGGACATTGCTCATGGCTGTTTCTCTACCTTCTTGGAAGCATGGCAGTGGGTTTCTTGCTGGGGCTTTCAGTCAGCAGCACGCCCAATCCAGTTGATTTCTTCGCATTTCCTCTGCCGCATGAAGTGCGCAGTTTTTTCAGATGGTGGGATGCATGGTGGACGCTGTCAGTTCGAGAGCGAAATATCACTGGCATGATTGATGCGTGGAGTGGCGCTAGCCTGCAGCCTCAGGTGAGCATAGTGAGCGTGAGCGTGGTTTCTGTTCTAACCTTAGCTTGCCGGGAGTTTGGCTATCCCGCGGGCTTGGCTGGACTAGTGCAGAGGCGTGGAAGCAGTTTTGGCGGGGCAACCTAAGTTGCATTTCCATTAGTATGCTTGGTGTGCTGTTTTCTTTTTGGTTGCTGTTGGTTGAGAAGGAAACAGTTTTGTAGGGCGAGTGAAGCGTGCAGCAACAGTGCAGCATGCTGACATGCCTGCAAAAGCAAACCGTGATCAATCATCAAGTTCAATGCTTAGTCTTGCAGTAGTCCCACATTTCTGCTTCAGGGTTTTTCATATCCATATCCGCCGGCCGATGATCCTCGCATGTTCACTAAGGTCCCACCTTGTAAGGGTGTTATATGCTTTCGGGTTGGAATTTTCCGAAGGGTTTCCTGGGTACCCTTTTACTTTTCTGCTTTGCTTTCTTGTTTGATGTCTTGTCACTTTGCATGTTGAGTTTGCATTTGCGCATTGAACTGACCTTGGTGACATTGACATGCGATTTTGACTGTCCGCTCTAATTTTGAGATGCAGCCCCCGGTGTGGGGGGCAAGTGGCCACTGTTTGAGAGAAGTGAATATTGAAGAAGAAGAAGAAGAAGGTGAAGGAAGTCAAAAGCTATTTGATGCGTTTGATTGCTTTCTGAATTTTTCTTTTTGTTTAAATCCATGTTTGGTCTTCAAATTGACATCTCGAAGGGCGGATAAGGATCAGTGGCCGCAGCACCTAGGGCTTAGGCCGGCGCTCAAGGCGTTTCGTTCTTCGCCGCACACGACGTGGGCTCCGGGTGACAAAACAGCAGATTGCTTGTGGTGACTGACCGAAAAAAACTCTCCCTTCCATCCTGCGCCTCCGGCAGAATGATGCGCATCTTTCGGTCAAGCGCCCCGCGGCAGGTGACGGCCGGGCCGTCTAGGTCTCACTGGGAGGGATCTGCAGAGCAAAAGGTGGCTCAAACTGGCTGCCGGGATGTCACATATGTCACCATAAGTTTGAAATGGTTTGAAAATACTTGAAGTATCTTGGATTGTCCCTAAATACTAGCTCAAATGCTACTTACTATAGCTGTATCATGCTGTATCTAGTTATGTCCTTCGATCCTGATGCTGTTTGCATCTCGATGCGGATCCATCCCAGCGAGCACGAACGCTGCTTTCTTCCTGGTCCAAAATGACTGCGCCATCACCGGTACCAACTACGCAACTGCGACGCTGATTCCACGACTACCAACTCTGCTTCCGCAAACCCTTCAACCCCGAGCTCCAAAATACATACAGCTTCATACAGCACCTCTTTGAAATCCAGACTGCTTAAATTATCAATACTTTTTATCATTTTTGTTGGTGAAAAATGTCCTGTGTCCATATATTTCCATCATGGACAGCACAGGCTTTCACCGCATTTTCTCCATGACCGCACCGGGATCTCCCGTCCTGAGCGCAAGGGGCTTCAACGAATCTTTCGGGGTGCAGGTAAGACATTTAAGCATGATTTAAGCATGTATAGAATATGTATAGATTCAGATAGATTCAGCTATAGTAGATTAATTTGGATTCATTTGGGTCGACTTTTTGTTGCAAGCGTTTGGTAGAGTCATGATTGTGTGCGCAGTTCACCCAGCGTCATCTTAGCTGTTCGGTAGACGGGCTGGACTGGTGACCCGGAGTCATTGCACTGAAATATGTTCAATCCAATTAGCTGGGCCATTTTGTGAAAGTTTGGCATCCCCCCCATTTTAGAAACCTTGGATGAATCTAGAAGTATATTACCATCTGGTTATTTAACATAGCTATGGAAAATCCACTATAAATGGAGGTTTTAATGGGAAAATCGTCTGTAAATGAGCCATTTTCCATGGCTATGTTAAATAACCATGGTATATATTATAACCTTGGATGTCTAACATTTGTCTAACGTGTTTGAGAAGGTTTCCACCAGCTGCTAGTCCTCCATCAAGACGAATTCACTTCTTCAATTCTTGGGCGGAATGTTGAGCAAAGCCACTTAAATGCATATTATACAGGATATACATGGATATACAGTAATCGGTTTGCAACATCGTACATCACAATCATCACATAAATTCAAGAATGCTCATGAATATTATTGAATATTCATGGAAAATCACTATTTTTAATCGATTTTTCCGTTTTAGGGTCATGTTTTGCACAAGGTTCATCCCCCTTTTCATCCCTTTCCGCTGGTCACCAGGTCACTGCGCCCTGCGCCGCAGCTCCGCGCATCGCTGTGGCAGGGCAGCGGCAGAGCGGTGTGGCAGGGGGATCTCCTGAAGCTTCGAAAAGGTGAAAAGGTGAAACATGCTGTTGATTCATGTTGATTCATGTTGATTCATGTTGATTCATGTTGATATGCTGTTGATTCTGATTGGGGTCCGCATGAGCTTTCAGGCCCTTTGAGGTGTAGCTAGTTAGGGCTGGTTTCTCTTGAAGGCGGTACAACTAGTTTTTGAGCCAATCTTAAAAAAGGAACTGTATGGAACTGTAGTTCTTTCTGTATTTCTTTGGAGCTGAACTGCATAGCCCTGCCCCAGACCTTGAAGATCTGCAGTGTCCACTTCCTGAGTTGCCAGCAGTTGGGCCCCGGTGCCAAGCCTGGTGCCAAACCTCCATGAAAAATGTTGGAAGAATCATGCACATTGTTACCATGGGAAGGAGCTTGTTTCAAATTCCAAGGTGTTCATTCAAAAATTGGGGTTCTCACTGCAGCTCATGTTACATGTCCAAAATTGAAGTCGACCCTTAAGTGCCCGGCTCCAAGAATCAGTTTTCCCCTTATGAGTTTGTCAAGTTTGGCAGTTTTTGGTGGCTGCCAATCCCAACCACCAGACCCCCACCGCCCCTCCGTTGCCGTTGGGCATCCCCAAGTCTCCCGCCACGGCAGCACCGCCGTGCCAGGAGGAGCCATCGAAGCCTCCCACGTCATCCAAGGTGAAGAACCAGAAGGCGCTGCCACGTTGCGGTGATACCCTGCCGCTCCCAAGGGATTCCCAAGGGCTGGGTCTAGGATATCGATCCCAACGAACTTGGCCAGGAATGGCTTGGGGAAACCCCTTCCGATGAGTTTATCATGTGTATCATTGGGTTTGCGACATAAGAAATCATAAGAATGGATTTCATTGAAGTTCTTTCCCCATCTGGGCCAACAAAAATGATGATAATAAACCAAGAAAGCCAAGCTTTCTTGGGGGGTGTGGCATACTGGGATGGGATCGATGTGCCTCAGTCCGCTGTTAGGCTCCGTGCTGGCGCGATTCACCAGCTCGGAGGCCTCCTGTCCCGCTTCTTGGGCAGAGGAATGGCTGGTGTGCGTGTAGCCCGCACCTCAGCCCGCCCAGTTCACCATGTTCACCCAAGCTGTCATCCGACCACCCCTTCGCCTTAAACCTCCAGGAGGTTCATGAGACTCACAGTGAAACCTCCTTGGTTCATGAGACCTAAAAAGGGCCTGGTTTGTGGGGAAATCTGTGAAATCAACAATCATCAAACAGCAAACAACTGGGTTTTTGGTCCTCCGGTCGGATGGCACTGACATGCACTGACTTGTTGTACAGCTTGGGACCAATGGCTTCCATTCTTCGGGCCTTTTCTGCTTTGGGTTTCATACCAAACCAATGGGAATTTCAGGATCCTAAAATGGAGGTACTGTACCATATAAGGCCATATTTGGGGGGTATATCCCCTCACATAGCCCTTACATAAGCCTTATATGTGGTAGGTACCTCCAATTTAGGTTCCTGAAATGGCCATTGATCAAATTTCAGAGGTGTGGATCAAGAAAGTATCATCAAGGGACCTGTGTTAAGAGCACTGAGCACAGGGTGCCTTTTGCTTGGCGGTTGCAACCAGCAAAAAACTAAGTGGAGCTGTTTGAAAACACAAAGCGCAGGCAAAGCACCAACCATATGGATGTCTTGCAAAAACGGTAGGTCAATGAGGATAAAACAATGGTTGTTGGTTGAAGAGCCATGATTGTTTGAATTATCTGGTGTGCTTCTTGCAAAACCTTATCCCGTCATTGGTCACTCAACTAATTACTGCACATGCCCAAAACGTCGGTTGGGTTTCCCATGTTTCCCCATCATTTTTGCATGCACCCTGCTGTCTGTCCCCTTCTATTTCCCTTGCTATGTTAAAATTGTGTTGGTGATCTGTCGTTTCCGAATCTTTCCGAATAGGCTTTCAAAATCACCATCTGAATCTTGATTCCAAAAAAACACCATAAACAATCAAAAACCATCAAAGACCATCAAAAGCCGTCAAGGCTTATGTCTTTAAACCCATCCATCTGTTTTCTCCGCCATCGGCCAGCCACGGGCCATCACCTGCCCCAGCTGGTGGCACGGCGCAGTTTCCGCCGTGCCATTGGTGGCGCAGGGGAAGACCGTGCGACCCCGGTCAACCTGGGCTGAGGCGCCAAGGCCAGGTTGAAGGATATTCGATATGTATATGTGTATTTATGTACATGTATATGTATATGTACATGTGTATGTCTATGTGACTGTATGTGTACGTACGTGTATGTGTATGTATATGTATATGTGTATGTCTATGTGTATGCGTATGTGACTGTACGTGTACGTGTATGTGTATGTGTATGTATATGTACATGTGTATGTGTATGTGACTGTATGTGTACGTACGTGTATGTGCATTTATATGTATATGTGTATGTCTATGTGTATGCGTATGTGACTGTACGTGTACGTGTATGTGTATGTGTATGTATATGTACATGTGTATGTGTATGTGACTGTATGTGTACGTACGTGTATGTGCATTTATATGTATATGTGTATGTCTATGTGTATGCGTATGTGACTGTACGTGTACGTGTATGTGTATGTATATGTATACTGTAGCAAGCATGCTGTTGATTTTCCCATGCGTGAGACTTGACTGTGTGTCTTCTGCAAGTAAAACATGTCTTGACTATGTTTGGTCTGTGAGTGTATTCATGCTCTCTGTTTGAGCAATTTTGCCCGCCCAAGTTTCCCTTCCTTCTTTGGTTGAAGTTGTTGGTTAGTTGCGCAATTGAATAAGATCGCCCACAGACCGCTGAATGAAGATCATTTCTACACGTCCTTGTTTGCGTCTCCGTACAAATTTGGGGCCCCGGATTGCATTTTGGGGCCTGATTTGGGTCCAATTTTGGTCCTTGTTTTTGGTTCCATTTTTGGGTCCCGTTTTGGGGCCCTTGATTTTGTTTGTAATTGTAGGGGCCCAAAACGGTGCCCAAAAATGGAACCCGAAACAGGGACCAAAATATGACCCAAATCAGGACCCCAAAATGCAATCCGGGGCTCCAAATTTGTACTGAGACGCGAACAAGGCCTACATGATCTTCATTCAGCGGTCTGCTGGGCGATCGGATTCAATTGTGCAACAAACTAACAACTTCCACCAAAGAAGGAAGGGAAACTTGGGCGGGCAAAATTGCTCAAACAGAGAGCATGAATACATTCACAGACCAAACGTAGTCAAGACATGTTTTACTTGCAGAAGATACACAGTCAAGTCTCACGTAGGGGGAAATCAACAGCATGCTTGCTACAGTATGTGTATGTCTATGTGTATGCATAGGTGACTGTACGTGTACGTGTATGTGTATGTGTATGTACACGTACATGTGTATGTGCATGTGACTGTATGTGTACGTACGTGTATGTGTATGTGTATGTATGTGTACGTACGTGTATGTGTATGTGTATGTGTATGTATATGTACATGTGTATGTGTATGTGTACGTACGTGTATGTGTATGTGTATGTATGTGTACGTACGTGTATGTGTATGTGTATGTATATGTACATGTGTATGTGTATGTGTATGTGTATGTATATGTACATGTGTATGTGTATGTGACTGTATGTGTACGTGTATGTATGTATGTATGTATGTATGTATGTATGTATGTATGTATGTATGTATGTATGTATGTATGTATGTGTGTATGTGTGTATGTGTGTATGTGTGTATGTGTGTATGTGTGTATGTGTGTATGTGTGTATGTGTGCATGTGTGTATGTGTGTATGTGTGTATGTGTGTATGTGTGTATGTGTGTATGTGTGTATGTATGTATGTGTGTGTGTATGTATGTATGTATGCATGCATGCATATGGAGTCGTTGATTTACATGTTTATGTTTGTTTCATGTCATTAAACGATGCTTAATATAGCTAAATTTAACATCTAACAATGTTCTCAGGGGCATAGGGATGGCAGCTCCGATGCCCAGCAGCTTGCGCTGGTTTCATGGGTGCATCCAAGGCACGTCGTTCAAGTAAATGATGACCTTGGATTTAATGCTGATTTCACGCAAACCAAAGACAAAAAGAAGTACTTCCAGTAGATTCCCCACTTTCAAAGGACTTTCCCGGAACAAATTAGTTCTCCCGTAGGCAATCCCAGGGACAGAACAAATGCAGTAAGGTCGGCCGCCATTCACATCCAGGTGGAGGCCAATGCTCATATCATCTCCTGGTCTGCAGGAAATCATCGGTTTTTTATGGTTTTTTGCCATCCAAATGTAGGTGCTTCCAGCAATCACTGCCTTCAAACCACTTCCGTTTCGAAGCGTCGGATCAAATTTCCCTTCAAGGAATTCACGGTCTCAACCTCTGAAGAACACCCGTGTATGTGGAAAAAATAAGGGGAAAAAAAAAGAAACCAACAACCGGATCCCCTTTTTCGCACACCCAGGCTGTCATGATTCCCAAGCAGCGCTCCTTTCAGGTCCACACCAGCTGGCTGATCAAATTTCAGAAAGGGATTTATTTCCTAAGTTAATGCGGCTTTTGGAGATTTTGGGCAGGCTATGACAGTTGGCCTTGTGACTGGCGTTGTTGAGTGGAGCATGCGATATACACAAATTATGTGTATATATATATATACACAGTATATATATATGTGCGTGTGACATAAAACGAATGGAGTACGCTATCTAATATTAAAATGATATAAAATGCATGTCAATCTGTATGTGCGTGTAGTTGCATATAGTTGCATACAGTTACAGTTATAGTTATAGTTACAGTTACAGTCTTACTCTAGTACTAGTATATCTTAAACGCAAAAACCAGCTACTTTGGAGTGGAAGATGCAGAACAAGTCCACCAAAACCACCTCCCAAAAGCAGGAAACCCCAGGTTTGGCCATTAAAAACATGACCTCCAAACTTCATTCATGGCTTCCTGAAACGATGTTCCATGATCTTGTCTCTAAATCAGTTGCTGTGATAAAACATACTTCAAAAAGAATAGTTTCAATCCATAACATGCATTTATGAAAACATTTAAAAAAATAAGGCTTCAATATGTTTCAAATTTAAAATTTCATCGTTTTC